GCAGAATGCATACAATGTATTTATATTTACAGAAATACACATTATGTTATGAACAATGCTTTTACTTATGAACAGTTGAGAAGCTCTTTTTAGAGTACCTACAATAATAAAAATAAAATGGTGGAAATGTGCTTTAGTCCTTGCGCAATTCACCTCGACAAAATCAATAGAAAATTACTGCGAATGGGTTTTTAACAGACATTTTGTATCTTACATTTCATTGATACACAACTTGGCTAGAATGTACTTTATTCAACTGCTCAGAGTTTTTTTCTGGATGGTAAACGCGTCAAATTTGGCAGTCTCGGTATACTGCCGTTAAAAGTTTTTTCCCGTGGTGGTTGTTTTTCGGGATGAATTTTTTACCTTGTATATTTTTGCCATTTTTTCTTCATATTTTTTGTTAAGAAATCAGTCGGTATGAATTTATCTGTGACTCTGAACGTCACTGAGTGAATATACATCGATATTTATTACTTTACTGGATGCTCGAGGCAAACGTGTCCTGATTGAATGGTATATGAAAGTTTTGATTGCTACTTTTTTTTTATCCAAAGTGCGGTAATATTATGCGTTTGTGTAAGAGAAAGGGAACTTTGGATGGGTTTGAATGGTGATACAGAAAACAAAGAAAAGCGAATGCGCATGCTGTTTGTAGGAGAGTAAGGAAAGCTTCCTGGCTTCCTGGTTTAGACAGAGCCATTTGAATATATGTAATGTGTTGAGAATTACGAGGTATTGGTTTTTTGAAAACGGGAAATGAATTTGTGATGTAAAGTGTGAAAGTGCATAAGCATGCTGTTGTTGATTGGTTTACCTTTTGCAGAGGACAGTGTATTACTGTTGTGACGAATGATAGTATTCGGATTAATGGTAAAAGAGGGATGAGAGTGAGTTTGGAAAAATGACATATGGAAGAGGTTTTGGTTTGGCTTATTTAATTATGGCAAAGCACACTAGGGCTATCTGCCTAAGGGGACGGATGCCTTCGTGGAGGACTTTTTAAGGAAAACTGGCTCGTATACACATTACACATGGGGAAAACTACGAACCAATGCAGCCAGCCCGTTCGCGGGATTCGAACCTCGGACCGAACTACCAGTGTTCAGCGACTTTACCGCTCGGCCGCTGGTGGGCCCCATGTGGAAGAGTAAAGCTTGTAGACGGTAACTGGATGATAGGTGGTATTGAAAGAGAGTCCAATAATACGTTTTAGAGAGACTGAGAATAGATCAGAGGTGAGTTTGGAAAGCGTGTTATTTGAGTGGGTGTTGTCGGATCCACTGTGGCTGTGGTCTGAAAAATTTAGGTTTTGACCGTATTACCGTCAAGCACAGTCTGCACTTTAAAGATCTCGAAATGGGTGCACACATTAATTCCATAAAGATTACTTGGTCTGCAATCAAACGTCATTTGCGACGAAGAACCAATAACGCGTTGATTTAAATTTAGCTGAATATATGCAGAGAAAGTAACACAGCCACTCGCTGAATGGTGAAACACTTTGCAGGTTTCTACGGCGATTATAAAGTTTTATCTGGGCGGATAAATCAGATTACGAAACGGAAGTTCAGGGGGCGCCCCTTGGCATCAAATTTATGATAAGAGTATTAGAGTATATATTCACTTAAAAAAGATTTTTTTCAGTTTTGCAAAGAAGGGTAAGTGAAAAAAAACTTATTTCTCTTAAATTTTTAAAGTTGCTTATTTTTAATATTTTATTACCTTTTCCTAAAAAAACCGCGCCATTTCTTTAAATATTTGTTCTTTATTATTCATCAGTTCCCATCCTTTTCTTCTTCTTCCAGCCAGCATAAGAGAAAAAATCAAATGCAAACATCGTATTAGGAAAAACTGGCAAAATACAAGAGACCCAAGGCTTAAAACGCAACTGAACGCTCTTCAACGTGATATCAAAAAGGACATTAATAACTTCAAGACGCAAAACTGGCGAAACTTCCTCAACTCTCTCGCAACTGAAGATAATTCTGTTTTTGACATTGCAAATAAATTTAAGAAACCCTTCAAGCAAATTCCGCCACTTCATGGTACCAACAGAATGATTTATTCAGACGAAGATAAAGCTAACACCTTGGCAGATATACTAGAAGAAACGTTTACTCCCAATGCTATCCCCCTACGACAGCAATCGTATCTCCAAAGTTAATGATACTGTTAATACCTTCTTAAAAATCCCAGGTCCTTTGAACTTTACATTTCTTGCCACGCCTAAGCTGGTTGCCGATTATATTAGCTCCTTAAAACCCCCAAAAGCTCCAGGTGTTGATGGTATTTCTACCAAAGCGTTGAAACATCTTCCTATCAATTCCATCACTTGTCTTACTAAGATAATCAACTCTATCATCAAATTCTCTTACTTTCCTAATATATGGAAACATGCCATCATCGTCGTCTTCCCCAAAACGCATCAAAATTCAACGTTTCCCCAGAACTACCGCCCAATCAGCCTTCTCAGTCAACTTTCTAAAATAGGCTGAAAAAAACAAATTATTCGATGTCATCTTAATCAAAATTATTCCACAGAGCGATCCTACATTCCAGAAGAACAGTTTGACTTCCGTCATCTTTATAGGACTAATCACAAGCTGCTTCGTGTCATCAGCTATATCACTGACGGTTTCAAATTGTAAGTTCTCTACCGGAGCTATTTTCCTTGATATTGCGAAAAGCTTTTGATAGGGTTATGGCACCGGGGACTTGTATACAAACTTATCAAGTTAAAATTTCCCCGATCATTGCATTAGACTTATTGCTTCTTATCTTCCAAGACAGAATATTTGCAGTCAACAAACTGGCAATTCTGTTTCTTCCACGAGAAACATTTTCGCTGGAGTGCCTCCAAGGATCTGTACTTTCACCATATTTATATAACGTTTACACTTCACGATATCCCTAAGGAACCCCACAAATTACCCCTGATCTTTTCGCAGATGATACCGCAATTATGACCCAAGCTTCTACTATTACTGTTGTCGAGCTCTTTCTTCAACATTACCTCAATCATCTAGAAAATTGGCTCACTCTTTGGAGGACTGAAGTTAATACCGAAAAATCAAAAGCAATAATTTTTCGCAAAAGCGAAACAAGTTTCACTCCACCTAAACCTCTTCTGTTTGATGAAGAATTTGACTGGGTTGACGAAGTTAAATATCTAGGAGTCATTCTTGATAAAAAATTGACTTTTCAGGAACATCTCAGGGAAATTGTGAAAAAAATTAATATCACGCTTGCTACTATGCACCCACTTCTTTGCAGAAGAAGTCATATGTCCGCTTCTAATAAACTCCTCTTATATAAATCTATACTTCGAGCAGCATTACTCTATGCTAGTCCTGTCTGGGGCCACGCTGCCAAAACTTACCTTCAACACATCTAAGTTCTTCAAAACCAAGCACTCAGAGAGATTATCAACGCGCCATGGTTCATTACAAATTCGTATATCCACCGTGATCTCAAAGCAGATACAATTCAAGATTACATTCAAAAACTTGCCAGAAATTTCTTCTATTCAGTTCTCACTCATCCTAACAATTGCATCAACTCTCTTATATGTTCTCCATTTCCCAGAGAAAAGCACAAATATCCATCTGACATTCTTCATCCTTAACATTTTTTACTTATACTAGATTCTTCAGTTCACTGATTTGGACCTTCGACCAGAGAGTCACTTTTTCATCGACTGATGGCGGCCACTTGACTTTTACTTTCGTCTTTTTCTTTTACTGATGTTTTTCATGTGATACAGAGTAAAAGGAGGCGCTGCTTTCTGAAACTCAAATTCATTATATGTTCTTAGTAGTGGTTGCCATTTTCTTTACGTTTCTGCGGAGCGTCTCGGGGAGGTTGCAATCCCAGAAATGTTCCGTAGAAACTCGCCAAATCGGGGATTTTCAAAAATTCCCCAAGCAGTACGCTACAGCACATTTTCACTCACAACTTTTAATGCACATACTAATACTAATACTAATCAAAGTTCAGTTACGAAGAATAAACTAAATCAAAGCTCACTTACGAAGAATAAACAAAATATATACATACCTTACAATTATCGAATACACTGTCAACTCCGCGAACACATGCAAACAGCCGCCATTAAAACTTTCGGAACGTGGAAAAATCAGGCATGAGCTGAATACTTTACTTTGATTGGTTGCAACATACTACGTTAAAATGGTAAAAAACTGAACGACTACGAAGGTTGCAGCAAAACCAATTGCACCATAAAAATCAAGTGAATAATTTTTGAGGGGCTGCTTCTTACTTTAAATCATTAAATGGTGCAACACAGAACTGAAACTTTTTCAGTTTTATCTGAATTTTAACATGGGCTCTTACTGACTTACGTTTGGCCATCCCATTTATATAATACGCTAACAATATAGAATAGTATGTTAAGTGATCTAATTAACAGAGCTATAACTACTGTTCTGGTTATAATATTTTCATTTTGCAACTGGACTTCTTATTTTTCCTCTTATAACTAAACTAAATTAATAAAAAATACTCATTTATTAACTGAGTGTCAAAATTATTAGTTCGAATACGTAATTAATAACATAAAGTTTCAGTGAAGTCTTACTGATAGATTTTAGTTATTAATAAGGGGATACTCTTCATGATTTTACAAATAAAGCAAATTCGTTTGCTGTAGTTGAAGTACTTGAAATAAAGTAAACACAGAAACGGCTGGAAAAAGTACAAAGAGCAAGAATAAACGTTTAAAAATGGAAAACTTGCCGAGTCAGGTTCGAAAAATTATGGACCATGGTTTTAATGTGTTCTTCTGTACTTAAAGAAATATGATTTAAATCATTTATATCTTGTATAAATCATCTCGAAAATAAAATAAAATTTTGCCAGTCATGTCTTTATTGGTGTTTCATTTCCGGTGATTAGTTGTGTACGAGTATTTTGCAAATTATAACAAATATTTTGTGATTAGCATTAAAAATGATTTTAATAAGCGCATGTTTTTACAGGTTTCAAAATCTTAACAAGAATGAAATTACGTCAAAGGAGCCAATTGGGAGTCCCATTCCAAATATCTGTACCCTATAGCCATTTACAGCATAATCTGAGACCTTTGCTGCCTAAACCTGTACCAGTAAAACTTACTGAAATGAGAAAAGTGGTCACTATTCCAGTTAATAAAAAGCTTGAAAAAAGAGAAAAACCACATATTAGCAAATCTATCGTAGATACGAGCAGACATTTCCCTACAAAATGCAGCAATCTGAATGTATCATCTAAATCGAATACTATATATAGGCAACAAACTGACAATAAGAAGTCAATATACTTGAATAATTTAAACAAATTAAGCAAGTACGCTTCAATTCGAGAAGAAGAAAAGTATGTTGAAAATATAAGTTCCAAACGCAAATATTCTTCTTTATCAAATATGGAGTTAAAAACAGATGAAAACTTAAAAGGGAAAACTAACGTAGGAAAAAAATTCGCCGATAAAGACCAATGTGATCAGACTTATGTTAGAAACGAATGTAACAAAAAGCTGAAAGTGCAACTAAACTATGCCGATATAGTAGAACAAAAATATTTACCAATTGAAAATCAGGAACGCCATGATATTTCATCATTGTTAGGAAACGATATGATTCTGATTCACAAAAGAGATTTTGAAGCATGGAATAACGCAGTGGAAAATATCGCAGGGAATAAAATGAAGCTACAAACATTGCAAGAAAAAATTCTAAAAACGAATTCGCTATTAAAAGAAAAAGGAGAAACTACACCAGATACAAATCCTTTCAAACCAGAAAAAGTGATTGAGGCATGCAATAATGGAAAACAATGTCCTGAAAAAAATGAGAGATTAAAAACAGCTGAAATTACTTCAGGCAGAGAAAGGTTTCATTCTTTTCCAACACAGAAAAATAGTTCACCTCAACGCATTAATCCTCATACATATTTACACAGTAATGAGGCTGCAGAAAATGTCAACGCCTACTTTTATATACATTCACGAATACGCGATAAGGAAACTATAACACAGTCGGATGGAAACCGTTTTAATAATTCAAATCACTTTGGTAGTGAATATTTACAAAACATCGGTACCTACGACGAGATGTTAGCATCAGAAAGGAAACCTTCTGTTAATCAAACAGTACCAGTTAATATAAAATTTCAAGATCATATATCAGAAGTATCTTCAATTGTAGGCAGTAGGCCACAAAATGTATCACTATATGAACCAATAAGGACAATCAAATCAGAACCTGAAAATCTTAAACTTCCACATTATTCCTCAAAAGCATCGTCAGGGACTGCTTACAGAGTTTGTACACCGCCACCAAATTCTGAAACAGCAAAATTTCTGGCACAAAAATCAAATCCATGTAATTTTAGAGTTTCAAATTATGAATCTACTGCAGTTAAATATACAGATAACAAATATTCTGCAATAACATCTGAAAAACCAGAAAAGATAACTAACGCAAATTTAGAAGATCAAAGAAATGGTCAGTTCTACAATCATTTATTTAATGCAGGAACTGGAAACACCTATAGGCGTTACGATTTACCAACGAAAAATAAATCAACAAGAATAAGTCCTTCAAAATCACCAGCATCTCAAAAGTCAACAAAACCTTTAAATACGAGTATTTGTCAAGCACAAGTTGATTATCCTGCATCAAAACAAAGTTCTATCACAGCGATTTTTAAATTATCAAAACCTGTTTCACATGCAAAAATATCGAGAGAAACGCCTGAAAGGCAAAATGGTTTTACACAGTCTATCACAGATTTACAATGTCATGAACTTTCCACAAAACTAACTGACACCAATGAACAAAATGTACAGAAAATGAAGTTCATGCCATCGCCTCATGGTAACGTTCATATTAAAACTGGCATTTCAACTAAAGATGGAAAAATTCACCAGCCCCTGATAAGTTCATCGAATCATAGATATATCGATGCATCAAGAAAATATTCGAATGCAGCTGTTTTAAAATTACCTAAACCATCTTTAAACATACAGAAATGCAATGAAATTCCTAATAGGCAGAACGTCTTAAAAGGCGTGACAGCAGTAAGAGGTCAAATTTTTCCGAAAACAATTCACACCAATGAAAAAAATTCATATAATATGAAGCCGATGCCACTGCCTGGAAGGAATAGTCAAATTATAACTGGCTTTTCAGCTATTTCTAACAAAAACCAACCTAATGGACAGGCCGTCTTAAAAAGCGTGACAGCAGTACGACCTCAAATTTTCCCGAAAATAATTCACACCAATGATGAAAATTCATATAATACGAAGCCGATGCCATTGCCTAGAAGTAATAGCCAAGTTAAGGCTGGCCTTTCATCTATTTCTATCGAAAGCCAACAATCCATAACTCGCCTTAATTGCTTTCAAAATATTGATACTGAGATTCGTGGTCCATCAATTCATCCGAAACTGGGAGACAAGAGTCATGTGACAGAACTGACTGTAACACAGGCTTTGAAAATTAAAAGCAAAGAAAATTTCCAGGAGAAAAACAAAGGTAATACTTTTTAAATAAATATCTTGATTCGAGGGTTCAATTATTCGATACTTGAGGGTTGATTGGGCGCAAGTGAGCAATCACCAGGTATGGTGTACAGCCTTGAGCTTATCGTACAAGCTTATCGATAATGCTTACACATTCAAAAATTCGTTAACTTAGTAACTTTAGCAAAACAAAATTATTTAAATAATAAAAATAAACTTAATATAAAGTATAAACAAGTATTACTTTCCATAGTAAATTTATTTGTTAAAATATTTAACTATGAAAGTTTGGAACTGAAGTGTAAACATGATTCTCCTGTGAAACAAGTTGCTGAAACGTTTACAAGACAAAATAATTTCTTTATGTTTACAGGATAAGGATAATTACCTGAAATTAGTCTTGTGGCGATAGAAAGGATTATATTCAGCAGTATATTTCATTTAGCATCTCCAGTCTTGCGCCCGTCTAACACACAAATGCAAATGATTCTAACTTCGTTTTTAATCTTAGATTATTTTTGGTATAATGACTAATCATAAGAAATAAATACACCTGAAAAATAAACTTAGGAAACATTGTATACAAAGTAAAAGCAATATGTACATATTTAACTTAATTAGTTTTCCCTAATATGCTCATTTTAGATTTCTCCTTACGAAAAATTTAAATTGTAACGGATTTTTGTATGTTTGAAGTCTGATGGTCATTTAATGTTTAGTGTCTCAAATTTTCGACTAACCAAATTACTTATTAATTTAAGAAAAAGACACCGCCCAGTAGGTATAGTGGTCAGGGAAGCTGACTGCGATGCTGAAGGGCTCGGCTTCGAATCCCGGAGAAGGCATGGTTGTAACTATCCGTCCCCTTCATAGGAAAGGCGATGGTGGCCCACCTATTAGGTGCCTCCGTAATAGAGACCACCACATCCGGCCTTGTATAGATTAATGTGTTCCCAATCTGCCATTGGAAGAAAAAAAATTAAGAAAAGCACTAGTTTTTAAAATATTTTGAGGTTTTCAGACAGTAGTAACATTGAATCACTTGAGCTAAGAAGCATAAACTATATAAAATGCATAAATTTCATAAAAATAATTAATTTAAATTACACTTTATTTATTTACGATACTTATTTATTTTATTTTATTTATTTACAAGAAATTTACGATAAATTTCAAAATTGATTAAAAAATAGTTTTTAAATGGTTTTGTTGGTATTTCATTGAGCACACAAGAATTATCTGGCTGAGGCAAGAGAAGCCTTCGTGAATAACATGTTAAGGGCAACTGGCTCCTATTCATGTTACACATGAGGAAAATCACGAGAACAAACACGCGACGAACCGGTTCGACGCAATTTGAGCCCAGGCTGAATTACCACTACTCAGCAGTTTAAACCATTTAGCTGGACGCCATCTTTTAAAATATTATCAAAACAAGAAGACAAAGGCATACTTACTCTTGTTGACTAGGCATTGACTGTTAAGAAATTAGAACGCCTATAATATTAAATCAACTCAAGTGTTCAGATCCTTACAAATAATATTTACGATTTAGACTTAAGCTGGAAAAAAGTAATGAAACAAATTGAGATTTGCGGAAATCGTCATTAGGCTTTCAAACGATATTTTGTCATGGTGATATTGAACCATCACAGTGAACTACGAATGATACGGTGGCAGCTCTGGTGCAGCATACATTTCTATTTTAAGAAAACTTTATTTTGTCCCTCTCTTTATAAAAAAAATATGATTATCTTACAATCAAATTATTTTTCGCAATATACAGGTTTTTATTAAAAATCATTAATTTTTCTCAAATGAAGAAACAAAGACAAGGGAAAAAAACACCTCTGATAGGGAACGACATCAGCGTTTCAAGCAGAATCTTTCTCACCACAATTTGCCAAATCTAGCCAAAGTCCAATGAGGCCTTTGCTATTTTGACTCCAATTGCTATTTTGACTGTAAATCAATAGCTCTTGAAGGATATTTTAAGCAGAAACGTACACTATATTCTCAGTTAGCTAAAACTTGTACAGTCTGTATTTTAAATCTTTTATTGTGTGTGAATTGTATTATCAATAAGGAAATTGTATAGTAGATATATTTCCGTGTGTAAAACTGGAATATTAGTAGCTGCACCACACGAAGGGTTAAAGTACCCTTTATTAACTCTTTAAAATTTAAAGTGCGTCAACTCGATGCTAACAAACTTCACCTCTGCTTGGGCGGTAACTGAAAATCAAATAACGAAACTAAAATTTGAAGATATTAACAAGTGATAGAACTAAACTACAGGGATCAGTGAGATTCCGTTACTGAAACCCCCTTTGAAACTAGTGGCAGCAAGTAAATGCAATTAAGCCATGTGAACCAGCGATAAGCAAACGTATCTACAGCAGAAGTGGCGGCTGCAGCCTAATTCTCTTTTCTTCCTCACTAAAACTCAGCTTTTAAATACTTTCTTCTTCAAAGTAGAAATTTGCATTCCTCCACGCGCGCCATAAAAGTTAAATTGCCTTTAAATTTATTTTACAATTTAGTATATACAGAGACATACAGCATAAAAAATCTTCATACCATCTCTCAGAATTCTGAAAACGTCGAAAGAAGAAAGCATCACCTAATATACGCTACTTGCCATCAGTATTGCTGCAGTGTGGTAGGATTTGGTTCTGATTATTGATAATACGTTCAGGTGCCGTATTCACTTGCTTTATCATCTTATCAACATCATGATCATAATCACATTTCTTTATCACTATAATTTTTTATATCATTACACAAGATAGTTAATGCGAAAGGAGCACGTCTATATCGCTAATAGCAACTTTGTGATGGCTTCTTCATTTACTATTCTGGTCTGTGGCTTAAGAAAAGGCACTATTGGAGAAGCCATACTTGCAGGTTTCTTCATACTAGAATTAACTGAGACTTATATCAAGCACTCAATGAATCTCTTAAGACAATATTTTCTCAAATAAGTTATATGCAGGGTGTCCATAATTAAACTTGAATTTTGCGAGCAGTCTGTAGCAAAAATTATACAGCGGAATTGCGTGAAAAATTTGGTAATGGCAGAATGAAATGATGAGAATTTTATCCAGGAAAAAAAAGTGAGTTTCAAAAACCATCCCTAGGTGGTGTATAGCTTTATTGAGAACATATAAATATTCTACAAAAGTTTACAAAACATGCTCGATATGATGTCCAACATTGTCTGCTACCATCTGGAAGCGTAAAATCACATGTTCGAGTGTTGAAAGTAGCATGAACTGGGACACACATGGCGTTATATGTTTTCTGTAAGGTCGGATAGAGATCTGATGGCATAACGGCCTTGAGGTATCGCCACAGCCAAAAGTCGCAAGGATTCAAGTCGAGGGATCTAGGAGGCCAAGCTGCAGAAAATTTCCGGCTGATGATTCTGTCGTCGCCAAAATTGCGGCAAAGCACTTGTTTCACACAACGGGCGATCTGTGGAGGAGCGCTCCCGTATAAACACTGTGGTTGTATCACATCGCCTTGTCTGAAGAGCCGGAATAACGGATTGCTCTGATAATGAAGTTTATCGTTGAACGGTGACGGTGCATGTCACAGGCCCTGCGGCACTGTGCTCTTCGATAAAAAAGGGACCTATAATGAAGGTTGCAGTAAAGTCGCACCAAACCGTTACACGCGAAGAGAGTAATAGAATTTGTAGGAATTGATATGGGTTTGTAGCAGCCTAAATACGGCAATTATGCTTGTTAACCGTACCTTCCATATGAAACTGGGCCTCGTCGGTCCACAGTATGTTCCAATGGCTATTCATCCTGGAACTCAACTCTCGCAAGAAACCGCAACTCAAGTTTGTCTACAACCCAGATCAGCTGGTAAGAGCTGCTGCAGTAGCGGCAGTTTATAGGGATAGTAGCGTAAGACCTTTTGAAGAAGCTTATGAATTGTGGAACGAGGTTGGTCAACAGATGCTGCAATACGCCGAACACTAGGGCTGAAGATGGTTTGCGATCTGTCTTCCTCCACTAGCGTCGCTACATCATGCACTACATGTGGTGCAACACACTTTCGTCCCCTTCCTGGCTGAATCCTCAATGTTCCCGTTGCTTCAAATTTCCTAATCATGTTTGTTAGTCTTGACCAGTGAGTAGATCTTTTCGTAACCACTTCAAAGACTGAAATTTCCGAAAAGCTTCGGTAGCAGAGTCTCCGTTTTGGTAAAACAATTTCACAAGTAAAACACGTACCTGGAGAGCCAACGTCATCTTCCTTGACTTGGAAACGAGTGTAACGGTTTGGTGACTGCGATTCGCCTCTCGCATCTTTATAGGGTTGTTGTGCGCGCACAGAATTACTCTGGTTACGATTGCATATGCCAATAGTTGCACAACGTCATCTAGGGGTGGTTTTTGAAACTTATTCGTTTTTTTTTCCTTGAAAAAATTCCCATCATTTCATTCTGCCATTACCCAATTGTCATGCAATTCTGCTGCATAGGTTTTGCTACAGACTGCTCGCAAATTTCAAGTTTAATTATGGATAATCTGTCAACAGTATATATAATTAATTACAAAACAATTTTTTAAAAACAAAATATAAACATGCCTAGTATTTTCGCGCATTAAGCTGCTCCTTTGTGAAAAGTTAGTTCTAAATTTTTTACTTTATGTCTTTACTGATAGCATATATTATATACATTAACATATACATGCGAAATGTATCTATATATATAGATACATTTCGCATGTATAAGACTGATATTATTCAATATGTTTTCTTACGTGGGTTAGCTTTCTTCTGTAGTGGAGGGTTTTCAATTTTCAGGGGTACTGAAAGTATACTGGTCATCAAAATTAAAGGATAATGACACAAAAATAAAACGTAACTGTTTCTTAATGAAAAATTATTAATAGAAATTTGTACAAGAGCATTTGCTAACATAAATTTCAATGCTTGGCAACTGATTATTTGCGAAATACTGAAATTAAAACCAAATTTATGAAAACTGGAAAA